TCTAGTAGATCTGAAGCTAAAGCATTTTCCGTGACCCAGCAATTCCACTTCTAGGAATACACCCAACAGAAATGTGGATATGTGCTCATCAAAAGACACGTACAAGAATGTTCTTAGTGGCACTGTTTTAACCCAATGTGTGAATAACCCAAAATATTGGTCAACAGTAGAAAGGATAAAACATTGTGATATATCCATACAATGGAATACTATTCAGCAATGAAAATTAATGAACTACAGTTACATTCAACAACATGAATGAACCTTATAATCACAATATTCATGGGAACAAGCCAGGAAAAATATTATGTTACAACTCCATGTATATGAATATTACTGTATGACTCCATGTATATAAAGTTGAAAAACAGGAACTAAGCTACATTGTTTAGGGAATCATACATAGGTGGTAGAACTATAAAGAAGAAAAACCAAGGGCATGATTAACACAAAAGTCAGGATATTGGTTACTTCTTAGAGGAGGAAAGGTGGGAGTCAAGAAAGGACACATGGAATGGCTTCTGTTTCTTCCAATTTCTTAATTATGGAATTTCATAGATATAGGGAAAATTTTTAAATTAAATATAGGGAAAATAATAAAATTAACATTCATGTGCCCTCTAGTTAGATTTTAGAATTCCTAACATTTTGGCATTTTGCTTTGTATCTCTCCATGCATACATCCATATATTTTAACAGTTTTTTGAAATATAATTCACACCCCATACAATTCACCCATTTTTAATGTACCATTCAACAGTTTTTAGTATGATCACAGACATATGCAACCATCACCATATTCAATTTTAGAATATTTTTATGACCTCAGAAATAAACTCCATACTTCTGGCTATCAACTTCCTATTCCCCCATCCTCCCAGCCCTAAGCAAGCACTAATATGCACCCTCTGCCTCTGTACATTTGCCTATTGTGGACATTTCATATAAATGGAATCACACAACATGTGGATGTTTTTGTGAGTAAGCTTCTTTCACTTAGAATAATGGTTTCAAGGTTCATACATGTTGTAGCACGTGTCAGTACTTGTATGAGTCTGTTTGGTCTGCCATAACAGAATACCACAGACTGAGTGGCTTAAACAACAGAAATTTATTTTTTCACAGTTCTGGAGACTTGAAGTCCAAGATCAAGGCGCCAGCAGGGTATTTCTGGTGAGACCTCTCTTCTTGGGTTGCAGTGGCTACATTCTTCTGTGTCCTCACATAGCCCTTCCTCTGTGTGCCTCCAGAGACAGAGATATATCTGATTATCTTTTCCTTTTCTTATAAGGATGCCAGTCCTATTGGGCTAAGGCCCTATCCTTATGATCTCATTTAATCTTCATTATCTCCTTAAAAGGCCCTGTATCCAAATTATAACATTGAAGGTTAAAGCTTCAACATATAAACTTTGAGGGCATGCAAATAGGTCTATAATAGTGCTGCATTCCTATTTATGGCCGAATAATATTTTCATTGTACAGATATACCACATTTTGTTTATCCATTCATCAGCTGATGGATATTTGCATTGCTTCCACCTTTTGTTTACCTGTTATGAATGTTCTTAGTGGCAAAGCTGCTTCTTAGCACCAGAAGCTGTGGTTGGTTACTACTTGCTTGAGCTTGCAGTCATCTTCAGTCATCTGTCAAGTTGTATTCAATTTCTGCATGGTCTATACTGGTGAATCAAATGGGGAACACCGTCCCTTCACCCTTGAGATTCTTAAGGGCAGCACCAAGCTCTGCCATACTCAACCAATCCTAGGACATGTTATGAATAATGTTGTTGTGAACAGTCAGGGACAGATTTTTGTGTGAACATGTGTGTTCACTTCTCTTGGATTATACCTAGAACTTGAATTGCCGTGTCATTGTTAACTCTATGTTTAACCATTAGAAAAACTGCCAGACTGTTTCATGAAGTGGCTGCACCATCTTATATTTCCACCAGCAGTATATGAGGGTTCCAAGTTTATGAAGTTCTTGATAACCCTTGTTGTTATCTTTTCATTATAGTCATTTTAGTGGATATGAGTGGCACCTCACTGTGGTTTTGATTTTTATGTCTCTGATCATTCATGATGTCAAGCACCTTTTTTACGTGCTTATTGGCTATTTGCATTTCTTCTTCAGAGAAATGCTTTTTCAAATCCTTTCCCCAATTTTTAATTGGGTTATTTCTCTTTGTATTACTGACTTGTAAGAGTTCTATACATATTCCTTGTTTCATATTTTCTTGCATTTCCTATTTTTGTCTTGTTTTGATTTCATCAGAGCTCACTGAGATTCCTGAAAGCATAGATAAATGTTTTTCAATAAATTTATAAAGTTTTCAGCTATTTTTTTTGGTGACCACCAGTATTTGATTCCTATTACCCTTCAACAAATAAATTGATAAGATTCTATTTAAACATTTAAAGGGCAGTATTTTTGTACAATTCTGAGCATATAGTGGATTCTTTATATGCTTGCGTTTTTTTAAATAGGTTTTCCTTTCCTTTTATTGAGATATCATTGATATACAATCCTGGATTCAAGTATACAACACAGTGGTTCAATAGTTACTCATATTATTAAGTCTTCAACCCCGCTAGTGAAGTTACTATCTGGCACCATAGGAAGATATTACAGAATCATTGCTATATTTTCCATGCTGTACTACTATCCCCATGACCAACTTATATTATGACTGAGAATTTTTTCTGCCCCTTTATCCCCTTCACCCTCCCCACACACCCACCCCAACCCCTCCCCCATGGTAACCACTAGTCACTTCTCAGTGTGAGTCTAGTGCTCTTTTCTTCATTTTGTTTTGTTTTGTTTTTATATTCCACAAATAAGTGAAATCATATGGCATTTGTCTTTCTCTGCCTGGCTTAGTTCACTGAACATAATACCTTCTAGGTCCATCCATCTTGTTGCAAATGGAAGGATTTCTTTCTTTTTATGGCTGAATAATATTTCATTGTGTATATGTACAACATCTTCTTTATCCATTCATCTATTGATGGGCACTTCAGTTGCTTCCATATCTTGGCTATTGTAAATAATGCAGTGATAAACATAGGGGTGCATATATCTTTTTGAATCAGGGATTTTTTTTCACTGGGTAAATTCTTAGAAGTGGAATTACTGGGTCATATGGTATTTCTATTTTTAGTTTTTTCCAGAAGCTCCATACTGCTTTCCACAGTGGCTGCACCAATTGACATTCCCACCAACAGTGCAGGAGGGTTCCCTTTTCTCGACATTCTCACCAATATTTGTTATTCGTCTTTTAGATAGTGGCCATTCTATCTCATTGTGGTTTTAAATTGTGTTTCCCTGATGATTAGTGATGTGGAGCATCTTTTCATGTGCCTGTTGGTCATCTGTAAGTCTTCTTTGGAGAAATGTCTGTTCAGGTCCTCTGCCCATTTTTTAATTGGATTGTTTGCTTTTTTGATGTTGAGGCATATGATTTCTTTATCTATTTTGGATGTTAACCCCTTATCTAATGAATTGTTTATGAATATATTTTCCCATCCTGTAGGTTTCCTTTTGTTCTGCTGATGGTGTCCTTTGCTGTACAGAAGCTTTTTAGCTAGATGTAGTCCCATTTGTTCATTTTTGCTTTTGTTTCCCTTGCCCAAGGAGATGCATTCAGGAAAAATTTGCTCATGTTTATATTCAAGAGATTTTTGCCTATGTTTTCTTCTAAGAGTTTTATGGTTTCATGTCCTAAATTTAGGTCTTTGATCCATTTTGAGTTTACTTTTGTGTATGGAGTTAGATAGTAATTGAGTTTCTTTCTCTTGAATGTAGCTGTCTAGTTTTGCCAACTCCAGTTATTGAAGAGGCTGTCATTTCCCCACTGTATATTCATGGCTCCTTTATCATATATTAACTGACCATATATGTGGGAGTTTATATCTGGGCTCTCTATTCTGTTCCATTGATCTATGGGTCTGTTCTTATGCCAGTACTACAGTGCTGTGATTAATGTAGCTTTGTCGTAGAGCTTGAGGTCAGGGAGCATGATACCCCTAGCTTTGTTCTTCTTTCTCAGGATTGCTTTGGCTATTCAGGGTCTTTAGTGGTTCCATATGAGTTTTAGGATTATTTGCCCTAGTTCATTGAAAAATGCCATTGATATTTTGATAGGGATTGCATTGACTATGAAGTGTTTTGACAATATTAATTCTTCCTATCCATGAGTATGGATAGATTTCCATTTATCTGTGTCTTCTTTAATTTGTCTCATGAGTGTCTTACAGTTTTCAGAGTATAGGTCTTTTACCAACTTGGTTAGGTTTATTCCTAGGTATTTTATTCTTTTTGATGCCATTGTAAATGGAATTGTTTTCCTGATTTCTGTTTCTTCTAGTTTGTTGTTAATATATAGGAATGCAACAGATTTCTGTGTGTTAATTTTGTATCCTGCAACTTTGCCGAATCCAGTTATTAGTTCTAATAGTTTTTTGGTGGAGTCTTTAGGATTTTCTCAGCCATAATTTCTTCAAATAATTTTTCTGCTCTTTTCTCTCTTCTGCTTCTAATACTCCATTGCATGTATGTTGATGTACTTAATGATATACCAAATTTCTCTGGAGATCTCTTCATTTTTCATTATTCTTTTTTTCTCTGTTCTTTAAATTGGATAAACCCTATTGTTTTATCTTTAGGTTCATTAATTCTTTCTTCTGCTAGTTCAAATCCACCACTGAGTGCCTCTAGGGAAATTCCTCTTTTGGTTATGTACTTTTCCATTTCAGAATTTATATTTAATGCTTTTTATAATTTCTGTCCTTTATTGATACTCTTTATTTGATGTGGCATTGTCATCATACCTTCCTTTTGTTCTTTAATCATGATTTCCTTTAGTTCTCTGAACATGTTTAGAACAGTTACTTTGAAGTCTTTGATAAATCCATCATCTAGTTGTGGTATTTTACCTGTCTTAGGCTATTAAAATGAAGTAACATTGACTGGGTAGTTTAAACAATAGAAATTTATTTCGCATAGTTCTGGACATTGGAAGTCTGAGATCAGTATGCCAGCTGGTTGGGTTCTGGTGAGTGTTCTCTTCTTGGCTTGCAGATGGCAGTTTTCTTGCTGTGGTCTCACAAGGGAGAGAGAGAGATAGAGACAGAGACAGAGATCAAAATGGAGATGGGGGAGGGTGCTCTCTGGTGTCTCTTCTTGTAAGGGCACTAATCCTATCATGAGGGCCCTACCCTCATGACCTCATCTAAAGCTTATTACCTTCCAAAGTCTCCAGTCTCCAAATACCATAACATTGGGCATTAGGGCTTCAGCATAGGAATTTTGGATGGACACAAATAGTCCACAACATTGTCATAAAGAGTTTCTGTTACCTGCCATTTTTTTTCTCCAATGTGTTGGCCATACTTTCCTATTACTTTGGATGTCTAAGAATTTTTTGTTGGAAACTATATACTTTAAATAATACATTGTAGCAACTCTGGGTACTGGTCTACCCTCTAGACCTTGTTATTTTGGTTTTTTTTGTTTAGTTAGCATATGGATTAGTTTAGAGAGGTCTGCCCTTGATCCAAGACCACCAGAAGGAGAAGGCTCTGGTGATGCTTGTGAAGTGGTGCAGCTTTGGATATGCCAACAGTCACCTTGGGATGACAGTGGTTTTCACAGGGTTCTCCTTTTGTCTTTCCATAGCCATCTCTAACTGCTAAGTTCCACTAATTGTCAGCTGATTGCTCTACTGTTTTCAACAAAGCCCTGGGCCATAAACCTCTCCACAGACGGATCCCATAAAATTCAGAAAGGAGGGTTCCCCAGGTAAGTGTTTGAGATTTGTTCTGACTCCAGAAGGGCTTCTCCGAGCTCTCTTTCCCAGGTTCTCAACAGCAAAATGGCGGGCCTACAATTTACCCTGTATCTCCAATGAATTTACCAATCTCCTGCCAATTGTGTTTCCCCACAGACTCCACTGTTTCTGACAGCTCCCTTAAACTGGAACTTCTCCACACTATGTTGCAAATGAAATCAGTTCCTTTGGGAAGACATTCAGAGCTCTCTGTTTAGACCTTCTTCTCCCTCCAGGCAAGATCTCTGAACCTGGCTCTGGAGCTGGAGGTGGAGATAATGGTACACGTCTCTCTGAATTCCACCCCCACTCTAGGAGCTTAGTGTTCAGTGAAATGGGTAGCCTCAACTTTTCTAGGCTTGCTTCTCCCAGCACAGACCCTTACAAGCCAGAAAAAGGGTGATCGGGACCCCAGTATTCTCAGTGTGCCATGCCTAAGATAGGGCCTCCATCCAACCAGTGGGGGCTGGGTGGAAGAAGGAAGCCTGAACCTGTTGGCCACACTCAGTGGATCTTAGCTTCAGCAACAGGTAGCAAAGGACAAGATGAGAAATGCTTACCTCCTGAGAAGAGAGCCCTCCATCCAGGAGCTATAGGAAGATGGAGCCCTGTTTTCTTGCCAGCACCAATCTACAGTGGAGTTTCCTTTTCACAAGCTAGGAAAGCAGGAAGGAGGGAATGGGTATTCATTCAAATACCACAGAAATTTCATGTTCTCATCAAATTTTAGTACACTTTCTTGAGTAGGTGTTTCTTCATTTTCTATATGTCTTTAGGATAATTTTCAGAGCCTTTCAATGACTACATGTATTTTTTCATAATTTTCACCAGTTTCACTGAAGAGCTCATCCAAATTGCCCCTCATATTGTCATGCTGGAAGTGGAACTCCCATATATACATTTTCTTGCTGAGCTATATCAAAACAAGTTGCAGACATCAGGAACCTTTATCCCTAAATACTTCAGCATGCATCTCCTCAAAACAAGGGCATCTCCTACATAATGACAATAACGTTATCATTCTTGAATAAATTAACATAATCATATAGTACATTAACAATCATTCCATATTCAAATTTCCCCAAGAATGTGTTTTATGGGTCTTTTTGGGGGATGGAGGAACCAATAAGCAAACAAGGTTCACATACTGCATTTTGTTGCTTTGTGTCTAGATTTCTTTAACTTAAAACAGACCATCCAACTTTTCTTTTCAAGTTATTGATATTTTGAAGAATCCAGACTAGCTGTCTTTTAGAACTCCACATTAGGGGTTTCTTGAGTGCTGTCAACCTTCTATTTCTTGACCTAGGTAGTGGTTTCTCTATAGTATTAGCTTTTTAAAATTTATCATTAGGCTGCACAATAATATACTATGCATCAAATTTGTATGTAATCAGTACTAAACAGAAATGATCATCAAGCCATGAAAAGACATGGAGGAAGTTAAAATACATATACTTAGTGAGAGAAGCCAATCTGATAAGGCAATATACTATTTGATTCCAACTAAATAACTTTTTGAAAGAGACAAAACTATGGAGACAGTGAAAAGGTCAGTGGTTGCCAAGGGTTAGTGGGGAGGAAGAGATGAATAAATAGAGCAAAGAGGATTTTTAGGGCAGTGAAACTATTCTCTATGGCATTCTAATGATGGATACATGTCAGTATACATTTGTCCAAACTCATAGAATGTACAGCACCAAGAGCAAACCCTAATGTAACTATGGACTTTAGGTGATGATGAAGTGTCTATGTCAGTTCACTAGTTGTTAACAAATGTCCCTCTCTGGGACAGCATGTTGACAGTGGGTGAGGTGGTATGGGGGGTGGGCAGGGAATATATGGGAACTCTACTTTATGTTCACTTTTACTGTGAACCTAAAAATTGTCTTTTAAAAAAAACTCTATTTAAAAATCCCTAAGTATATTATATGTCACAATTTTTAAAAATTGGAAAATGTCTAGAGAAAAGTGATTATAGTTACAATGCTCTAAGTTTCTCACATTTCTGAGAGGGAATGTCAATATATTAACTTTAGACTTAATTAAGTATACTGAGCTGTCAAAGTCCAATTTCTGTGCTTTTCCCATTACACCATCCTTCTTCTCTAGAATCGGGTTATGAATTTTTGACTTCCCAAGGTCTTCTGGTCCAGTCCTGATGGGTGGACAGCCACATTCAATGCCTGGATAATTTGTGCAGTTGTCCCGGTTTCTTCCTCTTCCCTTCTTGTGAGGGTCTCCTTGCTGCCACATTTCAAAGTTCCTTCCAATCTCATTCTCTCCAAAGAGCTGTTTTGTTCCCTTGACCTCCAAGTTACAGTAGCTGAGAGGTAACAACCTCCTCCCTTACACCTGCCCCTGAAGTGAACCACCCTTTGCCCCCTGCCCTGGGGAGGAACAGTGACAGAAGCCCTGACATACTTCTTGGCAAGGTCTCTGACTCAAGATCAAAGGGGATCAGACTAAGAAAGAGGGCGAGCTAATGATTAAAGAGAGAGTTAGGGATAATGTTTCCTTGCTTCTATTCCTAGAATTACTCAACTAGAACAGGATTGGTTCAAATTAACACCTGACTTTTTACCTGTGAAACCGATGTGTTTAGGCTCACAAAACACTGAGGAAAAAAAATGTTTTTGTTGATACCATTTAAGAGTGGCTGACCAGAGAAGTCTGAGAATTTTTATTAATAAAATAACCATGATTCTGCTTGTAAACACCATGCCATTCCACAACATCATTCCTTTTTTCAGCTAGTTTTTTTTTTTTGAGAACAGATTGTTTGTGTCCTGAACAGATGTAGGCTTTGCTATAGGAAGGGGAGGAGTAGAAGTGGGTTACAAGAGAAGTACAGGATGCAGGCCTTGCCTTCAGGGTTCTTACTAACCAATTGGAGAGAATAAATATTCAGCCAGGAGGAGGAAGGGTGGTACTGAGGTATTTCACTGGTTTGGAGTGCAAAATCATTTCTTTATATGCTAGACGTAAGGCTGACCTTTGAAAAGGAGAGGAAGGTTTGTGCAACTAATTAATTGTGAAAAATGAGGGCACTCTGTGTAGGTTCCTTAAGAGTGAAGGCCAACAGATTTGCTTTCAAACACTCCTTTGGCAGTTGTGTTTTCTCTTAAAGAATAGCTCTCTAACATCAACTGCATCTGTTCTTTCAAGTCCTCAGCAGATTCTAGAAGCTTTATTTCCCTGACCCTCCTTTCTGTCACCAGTGTTGCTGCCTGTCTTGGAAAGTAATAGGACTCCACTCATTGGACAGTGTTCTACTAGCTGGTTCACAACTTCAGACTGACCTTTTACCTAGTTAGGGCCCAGGAGTGAAGTTTGACTCCGTCAAGGAAAAGTGGTGAGAGATATGATCTTATGTGGACAGTGTCTCTGAGGAGGCAGTGCAGATCCAGTGAGGAAAGTGGGGATAATTCTCTCTTCCATATTTACACTTTCCTGGTGACCAATCCTTTTTGATTTATTTGTTTAAAGTCTATTTCCCCCCAACTACAGGGCAAGCCACATAAGGGAGGTGACCATGTCCTTTTCATTCTCTGCTGTATCCCCAGCACCCAGGACAAGATCTGAGACATGGTGTCCTATAAATATTTGTTAAATGAATGACAAATTAATTAATTAATTAATTAATTAATTAATTAAGGGGGCCTCTTAAAATCCTGACAGGATGTGGACAGAAACTAGCAAATAAGTGAGAAAAGATGGTGAGAGGTAAACTGAGGTCTTCTTTGGGAGCCACAGAATGACGGCAGGAACAGAACAGGAAGTGCGGAGTAGCAGAGCCATCTAAGAGTGGTGAGAAGTGAGGGCAAGAGAAATAACACTAACATTTGTCAAGCATCTTCTAGGTGTCTGGTGCTTTACCATGTATGAACTCATTTAATCTTCACAACTCCATGAAATGGGCACTATTCTGATACACATATTACAGATGAAAACAAACGAAACGCAAAGAGGTTAGATAACTTGCTCACAATCACTAGTGTGAGGCCACTGCCCATGGGTCTCTCAGGTTTCTGCCCATCTTCTGAACAGAGACACTGACTGACATTGTTCGGAAGTGTTTTTTCAAGGGTGTGTGTATAGTGAACAGCTTTGGAAGAGATAGTGTCTCCCTGTGGAGCAAAGGATAGGCATACTTACTGTCCATCATGAAAGATTCAGATTCATCAAACTCAGTGCTGCTCCTATAACACAACCCACAGTGTGTACAGGGGTCACCTGGCCCTTTTCAAGTAGCTCCTATGAGACCTGAAGGTAAGAGGAACTGATAAGAAAATCCTTATACCCTGGCTACTACTATTGCTGTGAGAAATAAAGTCCCTTATCTCTGACCTAGGAGTCTCACGTTGTCTGCCAGCATCCATGAAAATGTGGTAGGCTAACTTTTAGCTTGCAAATAGGATAAAATCTCATAACCTTTGGAAGTCTTGACAGTCACACAGGTGAGAAGTCTCAGAACAGGGAATTGTACCCAGATCTGTTTGACTCCTGAACCCACAGTCCTCCCAGGATGGTGTTACCCCCTGAGCTGTACTCAGGGGTAGGTGCTGCATCATATGATATCATCCCTCCCCACCCTTCCCTCATACCTGTGTGTCACTGGCCCTGACCTTACCTTTCCAGTTGGATGATTTGAGTGTCCCATTAAGCAGGGAGGAAGTTGGAAGTATCTGATTATAATTGTCTTTCCTCGTCTCCTATGTTAATAGAAGTCCATAATCTATCATCCTATCTTCTTAGTCATGCTATTTTCCCAGGGCTGTGGTTCTTGTAATAGGCTTTTGTCAGGCAGATTCATATCTGATGGACAGGAATCCCCAGGAGACATAACAACTGAAGCACTTTTGATACTTCATAAATAACCAACTCATTTTAGCTCTTTGGGGGATACTTGCCAAACTACATCAAAGGCACCTAGGTGATAGGTCAGGGAGTGCACAACGGTAGGATTCCAAGATCTCATTTTGCATATATTTCAAACCCCCAAATTAATTGTATAAAGTGATTTCAGTAGAGATTTCTAGACTCAGGAGTCCCAGATATCCCTTTTGGTCATATAGGTCTTTTGCTCTCATTATCTACAATCTCTTTTTAGCTTCAACAATATTGAGAGATTAGACAATCATTCTCTCTGCTCACTAGAGCTGCAGCAACAGCTTCCAGTCTAGGGTTGGGAAGAGGAGAAATAGGAGGCAGTGAGTAATGAGTCCATTCCCACTTATCATGTCCCCAGAGGACTGCTCTACCAGAAGGCCTGATGATTTGTCTAGCATTTCCACCAAAGTGATTAGGCGCTATTACAATAGCCCTTTGAGGACATTGAGATCTTAAGTGACTAACTACTCCAATGTCATACTGTGCATTTATAGCAGATATGGGGCTACCCTGGATACTTATCGAGTTGAGAGGACCATATCCTAGTTTCAAGGAGGTAGAGGAATAGGAACATTAGGTTAAGGATTCTTCCTTTTAACAGTTTCCAGTTGTCCTACTCAGAAGACAGAACCTCAAGAGGCAAAGGGCAGGGCAAAGTTAATGCCAAACCATGTCATGCTTCCCTCCACAAAGGCAGGGTGGAAGGGAGGCATAAGGGCTGGTGCATCACAAAGAGCTGGGGACTGGGAGTCCCAGAGTCTGC